CTATATCCATTCTCATTGTTAAATATCAAAATTCTTTTGTTACCTATTATATCTTTTTAATATTAATATATTATAATGAAATACAAATATGCAAATACAAGAATAAATATTTATTTCTCGAATTCTCAAGAAACCGAGATATATATATATATATATATATAAATGTTTTTTTGAATGTATCAAACAATATATTGTGAGTCACGCGTGACGCATAAAACTATCGAAGATATGCTCTTTGCTTCTTTATGCTGGTACATTCTTTTATTTTTTTTTTTCCATAATTACAAATATGTCATCACCGATACAGGACAACCAGGTGTATTATGTTCACAACAGTTTTTTGTCGCAGTCATAATGTATATAAATGAGATGTATTGCAGATCAGCCATCTAGTATCTTTATTGGCGAGAGTTAGCGCAAAGGTAGAAGAAACAATGGCTCGACTAAATTTCATCGTGACAATCATCGCCATTACATTGACATGCGTATTTGCGGAAGAATTATATTCAAGTCAATATGACGATATCGATATCGGTGAAATTTTGAATAATGAGAAATTACGACTGCAATATTACAACTGTTTCCTGGACACCGCACCATGCAGAACTGCGGATGCAAAATTCTTTAAAGGTATAGTAGGATACAAAATCCCTTTTATATATTGCATTGTTCTGTTTTAATATTTTCTTTAATTTATTTAAAATCAGTTTTCTTTAACGGTAATAATTGAGACACTTATAATTTTTGACTAATTATCGGTTAAAAATAAAAAATCTTCGAGAATCAAGTTAAAAATAAAAATATTGAATGAAAATAACAGTCTTCAGTTAATTTTGCATAATTTTACGTAAATTTCATAGAATGTTAATCCAAAAAGCTTGTTTGAAATCATAAAGACGAAATAAATTTAAGGCTGAAAAGAATTTACTAAAATTGTTTTATCAACTCGCAATTAGAAAAAAATTAGTTTTAAATTATTAAAAAGTTCAAAACATTTCGACGTTTGAGTCATCTTCAGTGGATATAAAGATGCGATCCTGTGTCCGCTAGATGAGCCCAACGACGATAAAATCGTTGATTAATAATGAAGATGACTCAAACGTGAATCGAAAATCGTCGTTTAGACATTTATAATAAAGATTGAAGTTTTTTTTAATAAAAAGTATTAATTGTGTGCTGTTAACAGCGCCGATTCTGATTTGCCTTATTTTTTCCATTATTTTAACACCAAGAATCACCTTTGTTAATAAGTAATATAATTTTCAGTTATACACATATTCTTTTACAAGTGAGAACACATTCTGTTGTATATAACAAAGTTTTTAGCTTTTATAACATATACGTTAGACAAGTGTTTTCTTTCGGCTTCATACGCCGATAGCCCTCGTCCACAGCAATGCTTGCTCTACAAACAAATCCGCAAAGGATTAACAATACAGTATTGGAAATTTATAATTCATATTACATATGCTATAGATTTGTAATGCTGTCAATATATTTCGAAATGCAATGTTATACCTAAATTGTGTACATAAATAAATAAATAAATTTACATACAAAATCATAAATATCTCAATTCACGAAATTTAAAAAAAATATTAATATTTATAGATAAACATGAAAAAAAATATTAATATTTATAGATAAATTATTTTAATAAGAAATTAAATTTTTGAAACATTAAATAATTGATCATAACAATAAAGTTTTGCAATCGATTAT